ACACAGCCTTTGTTTGTTTGCATTTTGGTGGTGTTTGTTATTTCCAGGAAAATGAAGCTGCTTTGAGGAACTGGGGACTTCTCAAGGTCACACAGCTAAGGACCAATTGGAGTGGGATTTGGGTCTCCCATGTTTGACTCCACAACCCCTTTTCTCCCACAACATAGTGCTTTATTTCAAAGAGATTCTCTCTTGGTCTGTCCCAAAATAAGGAACAAATGGTGTGGTCACCTAGGGGAGAGGATGGCGGCCCCTGGGAGGACCCGGGTCCGAGAGGGAGCGCACGGAAGGCTGAGGCCCAGGAAGTGGGGACGCGCACTTGGACGCGTGCGCGCGCTGATCCCGGTCCGGGGCCTCGGCGGGCACCGGCGGCCCGGGAGCTGTTTTTCTTCTCTCTCCTCGCTGAGATCACACCGGCTGAAAGCCCCGAGACTGTATGAGAAGGCGGGGGCTGGGAGCGGGGAGAAGTGGGCTCTCAAAAGTGGGCATTTGGGAACCTCCGTGACTCCCTGGGTAGTCAGTAGCTGCCGCAGGGGTCCTTTTGGCCTTGGGAACGAGTGCCCGGTAGAAACCCGGCTTCAGAGACATCTGTTGAGTCCTTGAAGGAATGAATGGGGGCGCTTTAGAATTTATCTTTGGGAGGAAATTGCATTACAGGGTGTTTGGAATCTGACGATACAGAAAGATCCGCAATTCGAGCCCAATAAATAGGAGAGTTTTGTTTCCAAAGCTGTGACCTCGCAAACAGTGGGGCAAAGGGAAGGACTAGGGTAACTTATGTATTGAAACGTTGGCCTTGGGAAGCAAAGAAACATTGGGGTTTGGGGGGACTCTGGAGCTTTCCTCTCCACCAGCAGAATTCAGGGTCATCTACCCACAAAGCCTTCAACTGCCTTCGGGAGTTAGTTACCCCCGCCCCCAGGGCCTTTCTCCTGCTGCCCCGCCCCTACCAGGCCTGTTGCCTGGTGTCTAAGGCCTTTGTTTATTTTTAACAGCGGGAAACCCCCATTGTGAGAAAGAAGTTATCTGCAAACCTTCAGGCAAGGGAGTTACAAAGCCCTGTGAGGTTGGGCTGAATCCACAAAGTCAGCCCAGAAACTGCAGGGGTCCCTGCCTTGTCAGAGTGAATGGCCTCCCGCAGGCCAGTCCGCTGCTGCAGCAGAGCCCTGGCTCCCCCCCGCCCCCCCCTCCTTCTAAGTCCCTGCCTGCATGAACCTTAAAGGCGAAGCCCTGAACTGGGCCTTACAGACCCGGTTCCCATTCCTGGCTGTCCTGTGGCTAATCCGCAGCCAATGTAGCCTTGGGTTCCACTCCCTTCTTCCCAGCCCTCAACACAAAAGCAAAGGAAGGAAAACAGTCAACAGATGGATGGCTTTCTTCACTCCAGGCAGCCCAAGTGCTGCCCCCTGATGTGATCTTCACAATGGCCCTGGAGGTAGATGTCCCTGCGCCTCCCAGTAACAGAGATTAGGATACTCACTCAGGGTCCCAAGCAGCAGAGCTGGGATCAGAACCCAGCGCTTTGTGAGGCCTCAGTCCCCGTTCTTGCCACTGCACCCAGCTGGTAGTTGCGGAAGGTAAAGATGACATCATTGATAGATCTCTTTGCAAAACAAAAGTTCCTTACACAGGAGTGCTATTGTGACACTCCAAGAAATGTTTGCTCACCTGTGAAATGGTTGTGGGAATCTAATGTGAAAAGGTTTGCAAACAGTCAAATGTGAAGCAAGAGAACCGTGCCTTGGGGCCCAGGGGAAGGCCGTGAAGAGTGGTTCGGATGAGGGAGCGCAGTTCTCTTAGACACACACTGGTTTCTGGGACCACTGACATGAAAAATGAAGGTCCCTAAACTCCAGGAGCTCACAGCCGAGAGAAGTTCAAAGGGGTGGGAGGTGTGTGCCTGGGAGAAAGGGGCCCTTGCAGTCATCATCTCCCAGTAACACATTAATTTTCACCTGAATCAAATCAGGCAGGTCCAGCTGTTGAGAGGTGGTCTGAGTGAACGGACCTCAAGCTCCATCAGTGACTGACGTGACTTTCAATCCTGGCTCTCTCTCCCTTCACCCTACTAAGCGTCTGTTCTCTCAGCTGTAAGAACGGGGTGAAAGGTTCTTATTGTACAGAGTGGTGGGTCTAGAAAGAGCATTAAAATTGTTCTCCAGTGCAAGCCCCTCATTTCACAGGCGGAAGCTATGTCCGGTCAAGGGATGCGATTTGCACTGTGGAGGGAAGGAGCCTAAGAGAGATCTGGGGATTAAATGTCGTGGAAGGGCCTGGCATATACCTAACCCTCTGCAGTCATGCCATCGGAAGGGCCTCTCCTTTTGCCCTCTCCTTTTCCTGAGAGGAGGAAGTAACTAGTCAGCAGCCAGTTATGTGACTAGCCATGCTTTCCTGAACTTCCTTCCAATGCTGGCATCCCTGTGAAAGGGACAGCTGTGCCTGCAGAAAAACAGTGCTGGGCCCACGTGTGAGTCTAATGCGTGCATTTCGGGGCTAGTTCTTTCTCCTTTGGCCTCAGTTTCTCCACGGGAGGACTTGAGGGAATAAGCCCAGTCTCACAAAGCAGTGAGGGGGGCGAGGAGTGGATTCCTCCGGGTGCCAGGAGGACCCTGCATGCTCCCTTGACATGGCGATGAGCAGGTGGGCAGCTCCAGAGGGGTAGGAACTCTGTTCTGGTGCTTGGTCTCCTGGGGCCCAGCCAGGCCAGCTTTTGCAGGGGTTGTCCTTGGAAGGAAAACGTTAGCCCTGTTAATTTTTCATCCTGGTAAGTGCAAAGTTCAAGAGAGGTGGGCTGGGACCAGAGGCAGCGACTCCGTTTCCCTGGGGTTAGTCCTACCAGGAAGGAACCATGCAAGTGGACTTGCCAAAGGGTTTGCATGTGTTTGGAGTGACTCCCAGGTGGAACACTGGAAGAAAGGAAACACCTGATTTCAATTCCAGTTATTTTTCCTTTAGCTAAAGGTGTTTCATCAACAGGTGGTAAATCTAGAAAGGGCATTAAAATTCTTCTGTCTGCATATGACACAGACATAAAGTGACATCTGGTAAAGGGAGGTGACTTGCAGTATGGAGATGCGATTTACCCTCTGGAAGTAAGGAGCCTAAGAGAGATCTGGGGATTAAACAACAAAATAACAGAAAATAGCCCTGGTGTGCTCAGTGGTTGGAGCGTCAGCCTGCAGACCGTAGGGTCTCAGGTGTGCTTCCCGGTCAAGGAAATGTGCCTGAGTTGCAGGTTTGATCCCTGGCCCTGAATGGGGTTGTGTGCAGAAGGCAACCTGTCTCTCCCCTTCCCTTTCTCCCTCCCTCCCACTCACTCTAAAAAAAAAAAAATCGATGGAAAAAATATCCTTGGGTGAGGATTAATGAAAGAAAGAAAGAAAGGAAAAAAGAAAGAAAGAAAGGAAGGAAGGAAGGAAGAAAGAAAGAAAGAAAAGGAAAGAAAGAAAGAAAAAGTGTTGGTGAGTATGTGGAGAAATTAGAACCCTTGTGCATTGTTTGCTGGTGGGACTGTAAAATGATGCAGCCACTGTGGAAAATGGTATGGTGGTTCATCAGAAAATTAAACATCGAATTACCAGCAATTCTGCTTCTGGATCTATACCTAAGAGAAGCAAAAGCAAGGGCTCAAACACAGGTCTGCACATCTATGTTCATCGCAGCATTATTCATGATAGCCAAAAGGTGGAAGCAAACCACGTGTCTGCTGATGGATGAATGGATCAACAAAATGCGGTACATACAGCCAATGGGATTTCATTCAGCCTGAGAAAGAAGGAAGTCCTGTCACATGCCACACCATGGGTGGATCTTGGAGACATTGTGCTAAGTGAAATATGCCAGTTACAAAACAACAACAACGAAACAAATACTGTGTGTGCCGTTCATAGGAGGCACCTAGAACCCTCAAATTCATAGAGACAGAACATGGAATGATGGCTGCCAGGGGCTGGGGAGGGAGGAATGGGGAGTTGGTGTTTAGTGGGTACGGAGTTTCTGATGGAAAGATGAATACGTTCTGGAGATGGATGGTGGTGATAATTGTACAACAACATGAATCTGCTTGATGCCACAAAAGTGTACATTTAAAAATGGTTAAAATGGTAAGCTTTATGTTATATTTTACCACAATAAAAATACATAGAAACACCATATTGAACGCAATAGAGTAGGCGTTTGAGGGTGGGAGAATGGGAATGAGGATGAGGGAAGGGGGAAATGGTGAATTCCTGGCTTTGTGATGAAGTCTGCACGCTGAGGGGTATGATTAACTTCGCCCTCCGCTCCAGAGCTGCAATAGTCCAAAGTGTTCAACACACGGTAGTCAATGCACTCATTGTTCTCTTAGTTTGCTCAAAAGACAGAGCCCTTGGTTTCCAGCACCTTCCAACCCAGGCACCATGCTATCCCACATGTGGAGAACCCAGTCAGATTTATTGGCAACGCCTGCCTCAGGGCAACCCCTAGGAGCACGTGCCCCACCTCACTAGCTCATGGAACTGAGGGCCTGAGAACGCATGCCATTTGTGGGTCTGCTCGGCCCAGGCTCTGGGCCGGGGCTTCAGGGTCAGGGTCGTGTTTGAAGTTCTCATCACCCCACAATGGTTG